TGCGAGGATGCGGGATGCAGGTGCAGCGGCCAATGACGGCTCGAGAAGACGGGCTGGTGCCATGGCAACAACCAATGGCGGCCTGGGGCGGGGACCGGCGGAGGCTGCGGGGCGTCGGGCCTCCACGCAGGTTCAGGTTCTGCGTGTGTTGGGGGGAGGAGGGATGGGGGCTGGTGGTGGTGGTGAAGCCCTCAGGGGAAGGGGGTGCCCTGAGAACCAGGACCCCGTGTCCCCTACCCCATTTCTGGGTGAAATGCCTCTTAGAACCTCCCGCGGCTGGATCCGCAGACTTTGAGAGTAAAACATCCAGTCTTGGGTGTTACATCAGAATCTTGGAGGTCTGCGGGGAACAAGCTTCTGTGCCAGGGGCAAGGGCTGGGTCAGCTCCCTCCCACTGGGTCGGGCCCAGCCTTGTGTGGATGGGTCAGGGTGGGACACAGTGTGGGATCCAAGCTGGACGCTTCCTCCTCCAGGGTCCTGGCTTGAGAGGGGGCAGCATGGGGGATGGGCAGATACCTGGGGAGCTCCTGAGACCCTACATTTCTCCTCATTTCTCCTGTCTCCCTGGCAGAGGTCAGTTCCTCCATGGGCATCTGCTGAACTTCTGTGTATTTTCCCACATCCCTGGTTTCTCAATCTCTGTCTCCCTGTGTCTCTGTCCCTTGTCGTACCCCTAATTCATCCTCAGAGGATGAGAGGAGGGAGGGGCCTGGAGTCCCAGAAGTACCCATCCCCAGCTGCCAGATCCTCAATGGGTCCCCGGAGGCTACTTGGGAGTTTAACACCCAGGACGGGAACCTTCAGCTGTGGTCCAGTTCTTCCTGCTGTTGACACATGCACACCCCATAGGACAGAGAAGGAGGTGCTGGAGCCAGGAGACATGGGTTTAGGGCTTACTTCTGTCCTTTCCCAGCTTGGAGGGCTGGGGAAAATTGTTCACCTTGCAACCCTCACTTTCCCCTTCTGTCAAATAGGGAGGCAGCTGCAGCCTTTGTAAGGACTAGTGCCAGGGACGACAGGAGGGGCAGCCAAGAGCACAGGACCACTGTGCTTCCTGCTGGGTTGACTGCAGGAGGCTCCATGTGCCCGTCCTGGGCCAACAATGCTGGGGGCCCCAGAGGACCCAGGCCTAACCATCCCAGAGCCTCCAGAGCAGGATACAGCTGTTCTCAGCCTGTGGGGTCAGGGAAGTGCTGCAGTGGGAAGGAGCTTTTATTGGAGGCTGGGAAGTCTGCACTAAGAAGGGGGCACCAATGCTGGGCCTCTTCATGATGAATAGGAGTTGGCCACAAGATCAGGGAGAGAAAAGTCATTCCAGGCTGGGCACACAGCATGAGCAATGCCTGGAGCTGTGAAAGATTAGTGCCTGCTCAGGAATATGGGCTTCTGGTGGGACCAAGGAGTACAGCAGGTGGTGGGACTGGACTCGGCGAGTTATGAGGGGTTTAGAGCAGGGCAAACTGGGCAACGCTGGAATGGGGGTGGGGAAAGGCAGAGCCTAGGGGTCTGCCTTAACATCCCTGTGTGACCTTGGACATGTCTCTCTGGCTTCAGTTTCCCATTTTGTTCACTGGGAAGTGGTTTGGAGAATCTCTGTCCGCACATCCCATGGAAGTAAGTCTCACGTCCCCCACCCAGTCTCAGGTGTCAGTCAGAACTTTAGAGCTGGCAGGGAGGGGCTTGGGGGAGGTGTTCAATGTCCAGTTCTGTCCTCATACATATGGAGAAACGAGTTCAGGCCAGGGAACACATTGCTTGAGTTCACTCAGGAGTCCCACCAGGGCCTTGGCCTCCCTCCCTCACCCATTTGGGTGTGGCTGGGGCCTGGAAGGCTGAGGGCACATGGGGGCTAAGAACCCAAGGCTTGCAGACCCCTTGTCTGGAAGATCACATCCCTGACAATCCCCCAAATCCTTGACGCTGTAAATCTTTGAGCCACAGTCAGGCATCACTGGAAATTCTAGAACCACAAGAGCATCAGGAACCCCACAACCTCCCAAGACCCCAGGCCCTATCTGAAGGGGCTGAGAGATGCCCCCCATTGCACAGTGCCCAGGCCTAACTAGGGGGCCTCTTCCCAGCCCCCCCCCCCAACATCTGCTGTGTTCTTGCAAAGAAAGTTTAATCACGGGGCTTGCTTCTTCCCATCCCAAGACCTCCCATCCCAGGATGTCGCCTGCCACACAACAGGGTCACTCATGGAATGTCTTTGGACCTTCTGAGCCCGACCTCGGGCATCTCTGCCCCCTTGATGCCCTATCCTTCCTCACCGAGCCTCCCCGCTGTGCCAGGGGCTGGGGACAGAACCAGGGGCGTCCTCCACTCAACTCGGAGCTGGGCAGGGGAGGAGGGAAGCAAGAAGGCATCAGGTCATCATGCGACCACAGATGGAGCAAGGGCTGGGTGACCAGGCAAGGCCCTGACAGGTGAGGAAAGACTGCTGCTGGAGGTGGGGGTAGAGTGGAGCCGGCTGGTCCAGACCACGCCCCGGAATCCTGACCCGAGGTGGGTTGCCTGACCAGGGTCTGGGCCTCACTTCCCCAGGCGGGGAGGGGGTGGGAGCACAACCCCGTCAGCACCGCGGACAGCTCCCTCCGGCCTCCAAACCTCGTACTCTGAAGTCGCGTCCTCCCCAGAGCACTCAGGCATCGGCCCCTGCTCAGGGTGTGACCTTGGGCTCCCTGCTGCACCTCCAGCCTCAGTTGCTTCTTAAACAGGGGATGTTATAGCTCCAGGATTCAGAGCGACTATAGAGGCCGGGAAAGTGCTCTGGCCTGATGAGAAGGATATTATGAAGAACATCAGCGTCATCAACGTCAGAGTCGGCCCTACGTTCAGTGCCCACAAGGGGAAACTAAGGCCCGGAGAGGCACAGGGCGTGGCCCGGACCACCGCCTCAAGCCTGTGCGGGGCGGAGCCTCGGCACAGCGCGTCCGCGTTGCAGCCCCCACCGCCCCAGCCAGCCTCCGCGTGGGCACAATGGGTCGGGGCCAACGGCTGGGCACCGCGAGGCCGCGCTTGCGCAGACCCGGGGAAGGGGGTCACTGTGGTGTCGGTGAGGGGCTTCCAGCCCTGCCAACAGCCTGAGGCAATTTCCCTAGCAACGGTCTCCACGGCGACTGCGTGAGACCCCCAAACCCCTGAAGCCTGCGTGCGCGTGCCTGTACGCCCCCTGCCGCCTGGACCACAATCCCCACAGTCTGAACTCCCCAGCCGCGCCCAGGGCCGGACCCTTTCCCCCGCGGCAGGGCCCCCAGTGCCCTACCTGATCCCCGAAAAAGGCTGAGTGCAGCAGGCTCAGCAGCCCCAGGAGCCCCATGGAGCCGCGGCCGCCTCGGACCAGCCCGCGCCCAGCCTTCGGCCGTGGGGGTGGGGAGGCGGGGGTGGGGGCGCCCGGGACACCCTGCGCCTGCGCGGAGGGGGGCGGGGAGGGTCACTCAGCAGGCCAGAGCTGAGACTCCTTCCGGAAGGGGACGAATGAGGAGGTCTGGGGACTTCCTAGGGGCTAAAGGAGGGAGTCTCGCGGGACTGATGACCCAGGAAGGGTGGCGCGAGGAGACAGAAGAAGATGGGGGGATGGGGGGGGAGCGTGTGAGCAGAGAAGAGGGTCAGGAGTCCGATGGGGTTGAACTCTAGAGAGGTGGGAGGGGGTCCTGTGGGTGCGGAGGAAGAGCTGCTGAAGGGTTCGAGGTGGGGAAGTGGGATCTCGGGGAGGAGGGGTCCGGCGGGGAATTTTAGCTCTCGGAGGACGAAGGGAGGCGCCGCCCTGCGGCAGCAGTCAGCTTCCCGCTTGTACAGTGTCTTGCAGAAGCCCGGGCACCTCTTCCTAGCCCGCCCAGGCCTGGGCTGCGCGCTCAGTTCATTAGTCATTCAGCAAACGTTGGCTGCACGCCTGCTGTTTTCTGGTGCTTGGTATGGAGGGGCCTGATAGGGCGACAACACACCTAAACACTTATTCAGTCATTCATTTAATAAATATTTATTAAGCACCGTCTGTGTGCTGGGCCCTGTGTAATGAACAAAACAGTCAAAATCCCGTGCTCGCGGGAAACTGACATTGAGGGACCAACAGTCAACAGCGGACAACGTGTTCACTATCGGTGAGGGCAGAGGAAACAGCAGGGAGGTGGGGACATGGTGGATGCCTGGAAGGGCACTTGAATAGAGACCGGGGTGGGGACCGAGTGGGAAGAGCGTCCCGTCAGAAGGAACATCCAGCGCAAAGAGAAGGGGGCAGGTCGTGCAGCGTCCCGTGCGCGCGGGAGGACTTGGGCTTTTACCCAAAGGGGCGTGGGAGCCATGGAGGGCGGTGGGCAGAGCAGGGACGTGCCCCGTGATGGATTTAGGGAGGACAGGCTGGGGGGTCCGAGAGCCAAATCTGACTCAGGTGCTCATCTGCGCCCTCTAGTGGCTGTGGGGGAAAAACAGACCGTGGGCGGTGCCGGGAAACCGAGGCGGAGGGGACTGCACTGGTGGAGGAAGGATAGTGGGGATCATGGAGTGGGCGTTATTATGAACTGTGCTAAATACTGGGAAGGCAAAGAATAAGCGGCAAGAAGAAAAAAGGGCGTTACTTTTGTGAGGGCAGGCCTCAGCGAGCAGGTGCCATGCATCCGTGGAAAGAACATCCGGGCGGGGGCACAGCCCTTGTAAAGGCTGGGAGGTGGGACAAGCCAGGAGAGTCTGGAGAGCAGCGGGGAGGCGTGCGAGGTGCGAGAGGGAAGGAGAGGTGGGTAGGCAAGGTTTCATGGGCCATGCGAGGACCCTGAGCTCTATTTCGGGGCCTGGGGAAGTCAGGAGAGGATGACTGTATTTATTTCAAATTGACATTCAGGTGGGAGATGACGGAGGTTTGGCCAGAGTGGTAGCAGTGGGGGCGGTGGGAAGTGGCCGGATGTAGAACAGGTTCTGATAGCAGCTGACAACTGAAAGGAGTGACCCACAGAGAAAGGGAGCTGCCTGACTGAGATGGGGAGGGGCAGGTTTGGGGAAAGTGGGCTGGAGCCCAGGGGATTGAGGAGGGGCAGGACACAAAGGTGGGAATATAGTTGGTAGGTCTGAAGGCAGAGCCTGGGCCATGGGAGAGGAGAGGCCCGAGACATCGCGAGGTGAGACATCGCGGTTACAAAGGCTCCTCCCAGCCTTCTGGACTCTCCTAAAGTGCTCCTGGACTAGAGCGCCACCTGGAGGCTGGGGCATGTGCCCCAGCCGCCTCACTTATAATACTAATGTTCATTTCCCCCTAATCACACGTAGTGGGTTGTGATATAAATTCAAATTGCAGAAGATTAAAGAAAGCAATGATCACTGGCCACCCCTACCAGGTGACCCGTGGTGGCTAGGCTAGAAGCTTGCTATGAAGGCATAAAAGGTAACACATGCTGTGTGGGACCTGACAGGGGCTATTATCCCAGGAAGAGTCCTACTCATTTTTTTTTTTAAGATTTTTTATTGGGGAACTGGGGGGATGGGAACAATGCTGGGGAATTGGGGTAAGGGGAACAGACAATTGCTGTACTTTTGTTCTTCAATCTAGTTGTGGAGGATGTTGCTTCACTGGCCCAAGCTGGCACCATCATTGCGCTCTTCCCGGGCAAGGCAGATCAGTCGTTGGCCTCTGGACGGCCGCTCACACTGGCTGCGGACTACACATGGTAGCTTATGGCAGCCCACTGCAGCAGGGGACTGCAGCCTATGCCACCCACGGCAGCCCAGCTCCAGGTCAAGCTGTTGTTCAGCAGTGTCACTGGCCCTCATATGTGGGATCTGAACCGGGGCCCTCTGGCATCCCAAGCCAGTTCTTAACCAACGCGCCACTCGGCCGGCCCTTAAACAAATTTTTATTAGAGTTTGAAAGATCTCAACTGTTCCTAGGGCTCATTATGTTTTCATAATCATTGAATTTTCAGCCAACTGTTGGATTTGAGTCCAGTTCTTCCGGAGTGAGTGACTGGGCAGATGGCTCAGCCCTCTCTGACCCTCGGTATCTTCTGTGAGATGGGGACAGCAGGAGCAATCAAAGCGCAGGAGCAGGACGTGGCTCTGACGCCTCGTGTGGCTCCGTGGGGTGAGGGCGTAGTCTCTGCTCATAGCTGACCCCAAAGGCCTCTACCGCTTCCCAAACGAGATTAAAGAAGGAACTGCATCCGCGCTTGCGCCGTAGTGCCTAGCCGGGAGCGCGGCCGCGCACGCACACACGCACGCGCGCGCACGCGCACGCACGTGGGTCGGCCCGCGCGCTCCCCTCCGAGAGGCGGGGCCGAAGCCTGCGCGCGGGACTCCACTTCCCAGCGTGCCTCGCGTCGAGGAGGCCGAGGAGACATCCCTACCCGTAGCGGCCGAGAGCGACGGCGCGGACCCCACTGCATGCACGCACGCCGGCACGCTCGCGGGCGCACCCGTGACCCCTCCCCTGGAGGCTCCGTGCGGGAGCGCGCCCGGGCGTGCGCAGGGCGGCGGCGTGGGCGCGGGGGCGCGCGGTGACCGTTGGCGCTGAGGGGAGGAGGCAGCTCTGCCGCCGCCGTTGCGCAGATCCGGGCCACGGCTGTGGGGAGGGCGCCGGGGCTAGTGACCTTCCGGAGGCGGGAGCAAGCCAGGGGGCCCGGGACGCCAAGCGCCGCCGCCGCCGCCATGAACAACTCGGGCGCCGACGAGATCGGGTGAGGACGCGCCGGGCCGCGCCGCCGCTTCGGCCGGCCCCCGCCCAGATGCCGCTCTCTCGTCAAGGTCACGCCGTGGGGCCGCAGCCTGGGGTCCCGCCGCTTACTGGCCCGGGGAGACCCCGAGCGGGAACCTGGGGGACCCCGCTATTTTTTGGCCGGGGGAGACTCGAATAGAAGCTCAGGGGATGGGGGGGCACCCGCCGCTCCCGAGCTTCCTGTTGGGGGACCCCAGACGGGAGCCCAAAGGTTCCAGAGGGGGTCCCCGCCGCCGGAGCGCCTAAATTTCCCTTCTGGGGATCCCGACTTGGAAACTGGAGGGTCTGTGGCGCCCTGTCCGCCTCCACACCTGGGTTTTCTGCTGGGAGACCTCCTCCTCAAAGGGGAGCTCAGAGGGTCCCGGACGCCCTCTCTGTCCCCGTGCTTAGGTTTCCCGTTGGGGAACCCCGAACAGGAACATGGGGGATCTGGGGCTCCGCGGCACCCCCAGCCCGCGCACAAACTTGGCGGGTCGGCGCACGTGGCGGGCTCGTCGCGGGGGTTCCGGTTCTGCCGTCGCCCAACTTCTCCCATCCGGAATTTTGGGCGGCGTCGCCCCCTTTCTCCTCTGTCCCCCAAAGTGCTAAGAACAATGAAGGGTTGCAAACCAGAGAGCCCTCGGGCCAAGGTCACGGGGGACCGGTCTGCTCACCCCGCGTTGTCCACCATTTCAGTGCGCCCGCTCCACCCGATGGGGCGTCTGCAACTGTTTTTATGTTGATGGGATCCCCTTCCCGCTCAGCCGCCACCTAATCGTTACCCAGGGCTGTATTTAAAATAAAGAAAAAGGGAAACTCCGGTCGATGGACAGAAAGCCTTACTCCCGAGGTCTCTCTCCTTGGCGTAGCTATTAGAGATTGGTTATAGCTAAGTTTCCCCTTTAATTATAGCCTTGCCGAATGCTGAACTAACCGGAGATCCCAGAAGCGATCCCAACAGAGCTAGAAAAGGCAGTTCTTTCAGGGGGAGGGCTTTGTTTTAGTTTTCCTTGCAGAGATGGCTCCTACTGCACCAGCGTGATTTTACCGTTAAATTCTCTGAAGATGGCAAAACAGACCCGGTTGCATTTATGTGGCTTTGTGTACATTTCTCAGTGCCCTTAGCTTTGAACAGACATGTGTTTATAAAGTAATTGATTTGGTGAGTCAGTCATTGTTTGCTGGTGGGAGGCTGGCCTCACCGGGCCCTGTCTGGCTCCAGTCACCGGTTGCACCTGTGTAGGTAAAATGCATTTTGTGGGCTCCCCTCCCCCAAATCCCATGCCTTTTAGAGGACCCGGAAGAAAGCACTTCCTTCCCAAGGCATTCTGGGTTAGGCAAATGAAAAGTTGCAGCACTTGTGAGGGAAACTGGGAGGCTAAGTCTGAAGGAGAGTTAGCACGCTTCCCACATCCACACCCACATGTGTCTTTGCAGAGCGCAGTCTTCTAAGGCCAGGAGGCAGGGGGGCCAGGAGGCAGGGGTCGTCTGGCCTGGGCTGCCCTCCGTTCTCACCATGAGAGCAGAGAAGAAGGTTAGGGAAGGAAGGGAATCTGGAGAACCATGAGGCCTGCCCTTCAGGTATGCTCACAAGGAGCCGGCCAGACAGGGATACCTGGCATTTCATTCCAACAACTTGTCCCAAATTTTGGATCCCAGCCAGGACCCAAGCCCAGGTCTGGAGGGTCCAGACCCATGGGCAATTTGGGGAGGCCAGAGTGAATAGCAGAACCAGGATCGGGATCAGGGACCCTGCCTGGCTATCTTTTCCCTCCCTGGTGAATCCATGTAGATCACCCGAGTTTTAAAGTTGTGAATCACAGATGTCACGGAAACCTTTTATGGTTTTGCAAGTAAAAACCTGTTGCCAGAAAGTATTGACAAGTTTCTATTTTATGTAGGAACCTTGTTTGCGTTGGATGTGGAGTCCAGGGTCCACTTTGATCACCTTGCTGTGTGTGGCTGTTTAGTTGGGCTCCCTTATGATGGGCCCCCTCTGGCAGTTTCCTGTGAGGGAACCATGGTTGAGACTTTGGAGTGGTTGCTATGTGGGAGGTGTGTTGTGCTCAGATCCGAGTGATGGCAGACATTATTACCAGGAGGTGGCAGGTCTGAAGGATCTGTGGTGACAGGCACCCTCAGCTTTGCTTTGGTCTGTCAGCCCTGCCCAGGTAGCTCTTAGGAAGTGCTTGACAGGTGGGAGGGACCTCTCTCCTTTCCTTTTGGACTCATGTGTGGATACCAGTGCAGGCCTTAGGAAGTGTGTGGATGCCGGGGTGCCATGCTGTCCTGGTCTGCACTTCTGAGGTTGAGTCGTTAAAGGAAGAGCTGACTGTACCTGAGCTGGCTCAGAAATCAGCGTGAAGTCTGATGGGAGACTGGAAATTGGGTGAGACCACTGGCTTAAGTCACTGTTTTCAGTGTCCTGATTGTCACAGTCAGCTAGAGCACAGCGAGGGCCAGTTCTTGCGGGCAGAGAGACGATGGGAGCAGTGGGTGTCATGTGGTCACATGTAGCCAATGTGCAGATGGGCAGATGGCCGTCCTTCTGAGGCAGGTCCGGCAGGGTCAGGCACTCACCTTGGGGGGGGAGTGGGGCGGAAGGGTCTGCTAAGCAGACAGGGCTGAGTCCTCTTTCCCCTGCCATGTCCTTGAAAAGTCAACTTAAAGAAAAGTCCCTTGATTCAGATTGTCTGCCGGGGCTGCCTGGCATCTTGTTGGTGCTTCCAGGTGCTGGGGGAGGTCTCATTCCCATTCCAGATGGAGAGAGGCATCTAGGGGCACTTAGTTCTACGCACCTCTGGGTCAGCTGGCCTGTGTCATGGAACTGGAAAGAAGTGGGGAAGATTTTATCTGGCATGCGTGGTTCTATGTGCGTCACCGGGGACTGGTAAGACAGGGGCACCTGTACATCATCGAAGGGAGTCTCAGGGAGAAAGGAAAGACTTAGAGGGAAGCAAAGCAGCATTTGGGTCACTCTCAGGAAAGATGTGGGAATATGGGCGGAGTCCACAGTTGCTCAGCCAAGAGAAACTAAGTGGGTGACCTCAGGGGCTTGCAGCTCGAGTGCTGGCTAAGTGGTGGGTGAAGGATGGAGGGTACCTTCAGCACATAGAATGGTCCCAAGGCAGAGTGCTTGAGTCCTTCCTGGTCTTTCAGGAATGGTTTGTTGGAGAGTCTGTGGAAGCAGACCCCCCCTGAGTTGAGCTCTGGCTGGGCCTGGGAGGGTAGGGATCAGGAGCTGAGAGGACTGCACTTGTTAAGTGCCTGTTTGTGCTGAGCCCAATGAGGTGGGAGGTCGTGATTGGGGGGAACACTGGTTCTTTCTCGGGGGTGGTGGGAGGGCTCCTCCCACCACTCGACACAGTGGGTCCTGTGGTTTTCTCTTGTGTCATGCGACTCCCACAGTCATCTGGGAGGGGTTGGTCTGCTGGTAGAAGGGAAGCCCAAGTGCCGAGGGCAGGGGCTGGAACGGGTGGCCTTTGGAGTGAGACCCGTACACCAGGGCTGTGTGTCCACTCCCAGGGCTATCTCCCTTCCTGTAGGGAGATGAGGACAGCCTGGGGGAACCAGGTCCCAGTGTGTCCCCACTGAAGACCAGGAAGGTGCAACATAGGCTTTGGGCTGGATGTTCTCTAAGAAGAAAGGGCCATTTGCTCAACAACTCTGACTGGTCTGGGCCCTCTGCCCTGCTGCTGCCTTTGGGTTGCCTCCTTGCCAGACAGGATGGCACTTCCTGAAGCCTGCCAGCGTGCTGCTGGGGCAGAGCCCACAGTGGTCGGCCTGAGCCAGGAAAAGCTAGTGCAGGCTGACTTTCTGGCATTAATACCACGTGGCTGCCCTAAAGTCCACTGAGTAGGAGCAGGGTAGTCATCCAGAAACAGGTTTTGGTTTCAGCAGGCAGAAGAGGATGAATGCTAACCAGAGCCTGGTACCTGGTCAATTTTGCAGAGTCCTTCACAGGAGGAAGTCACCTACACCCTCTCGAGGTACAGGCCCTGGAAGCCAGCATGCTAATCACAGACGACCTCTCCAGGTCCCCCAGCTGTTGGCATTGCCTGTTTTCCACTTAGGAATCTGACTCTGGGTCACCTGGATGGGCTGACAGAGCCGACGTCCCTGCACCGGTTTGCAGGACACATGGTCTATGTGACCCTGATGTCTAGCTTTAGCTGAGCAATGACACCCTTCCCTTCAGAGCAAGGAAGAGCTGAAAGGGTTAGCCAGTGTGGTTAGCTAATCCCTTAATCTGCAGAGTTCCATGTGTACACACCCATCAATGCCTAAGATCCACACTGTGCCAAGTAAGTGTCTGGGCCACCCCCTGGATGTCTGGCGGGGTGAGCAGGCCTCACACTCGTGCCATAGCTGCATATCCATGTTGGCCAGTGATGGTCTTGCTGCCTGGGCAGCGAGGAACCGTGTCTGGCTTGTCCTGCGGTGGCCTTAGTCTCTGGGGTGCTGGGGCACCTGTGTCTCACTCACCCTGGTGAGGTTGGCTCCCAGGGCCCTTATTTTATTGATTACAAAACTTAAGGCTCAGAGGTTGGGACTTTGGAGAGGTCTCTGCCACCATGGGTCAGTGGGGTCTCCTGGGACCTTCCTGAACCTTCCATGTGCAGACCGGGAGAGTGTGTCCTTGGAGAAAGAGGAACGGAAGTGGAAACACAAAGCACCCAGCACAGCACCACCCCCACAGAGGCACGGCGCGTTCTTCCCTCTGCGTAAACTGGTGGTCATGTAAGAAGCATGTCTTACTGTGTCTCAGATATCCTACGTGATGAGACTGTTGTTTCAGAAGAAACGTAAATCGTGGTATTTCCTCAGTAATGAACATTCTATAAGTTGTGATCTTCTATAACTTAAGACTTACAAGACAGTTACAGAATAGTAACAAAGTCCCTAATACTCATTACCCAGCCAGACTCACCAGTGGCTGACATTTTGCCCCGTTTGTGCACATCTTTCATGAAGTATTCAAAGGGGCACCCAGTGCCCCATTGTGTGGACTTGTACATGTGTCCCATTTTCTTAGAAACATTCTCTCAGATGAACACAGCACAGTGATAAAATTGGGACTCGCAGTATTGATGCCATGTTGTCATCCATCTACGGGCAGATGCCAGTTCTGTCAGTTGTGCGGATGATGGCATTTTTTTTTTAAAGATTTTTATTGGGGAATTGGGGGGATGGGAACAGTGCTGGGGAATTGGGGGAAGGGGAACAGACAAGTTGCCATCGTTTTGTTCTTCAGTCTAGTTGTGGAGGACGTTGCTTCACTGGCCCAAGTTGGCACCATCATTGTGCTCTTCCCGGGCGAGGCAGATCAGTTGCTGGGCTTCTGGACGGCCGTTCACTGCGGCTGCTAGCCGCTCACGCTGGCTGCTGGCTACACATGGTAGCCCATGGCAACCCACTGCCACAGGGGCTGCAGCCTACGTCGTCGCCGGCAACTCACGGCAGCCCAGCTCCAGGTTGAGCTGTTGTTCAGCATCTTAGCTGTGGAGGGCAGCGTCACTGGCCCTCATATATGGGATTCGAACTGGGGCCCTCTGGCGTCCCAAGCCAGTTCCCAACCATCGCGCCACTCGGCTGGCCCGGATGATGGCATTTTTAATCTTTTCCACTGGATGCCTGATTTTGAAATTTAAATGAGAGCTGGAATCTAGACTGGTCTGGTGGGTTCCTCCACTGGTGGGCGGCGGAGGTTAGGCTTCTTAGAGGGACACTGGCTTATTACCTTACTGTTCTGGTTGGATGCAGTGCTAAACAGAGGCTGGTGTTTCTCTAAGCAAATTGGGTTTTGTATCGATTTTGGTTTTTGAGAATGCTTGAGATCTCTGTCTTGCACGAAGCTGCTTTTCTATAGCAAACCCTTGATTGTTCCTGTGCCGAAGGACTGGGCAAACGGGCGGTTCCTCAATGGTGCCAGCCAGCCTCTGGCCCTTGTCATTTGAGGCCCTGAGTCACAACTTGCTCTGGGCAGCGCCCAGCCGGCCTTTAGATGGAGGCTCCACCCCCTGATTGTTGAGAGGCTGGAGGCCTGCATAGGAGACAAGGTTTTAAGTTAATGAGGCCTAAATGTGAGCCTCTTTGCTGCTTGGTCAGCATGTTCCCTGAAAGCTGTCCTCGCTGAGCTCCCTTCTGAGGCACTAGAAGCACAGCCACAGCCAAATGCCTGTCCTGAGCCCCCTTCCATCCCTACCCAACCAGGAACTGGTGGTGGCTTGTTTGTTGGCATTTTGAGGATGGCAAGTGTTTCTCACACTAAATTCAAATTGCCCTTTCGTAGAAAAAAGGTAGATTGGAATGAGCCCCTGACAATCCTGCTGTTGTAGGCATTTTGCCAGTGGCTGGCATACTAAGGTCACCCGATGGAACAGTGGTGACGAGTGTGCCTGCTACCTTGAGGGATTTGTCCTTGGGTGGAGGGCAAGGTGCCCTATCTGGCAGTTCTCTTGATTTCTCAGGAGGCAGGAGTGTGATAAGCCTTACAGGGTCCTTGTGTCTGGGTGTCTCAGGCTGCGACTGAGCCAGCCCATGCGCCGGCATCCGGAGAACCTCCAGTTAGCCCCTGGTCCAGCTTTGAGGGTGACAGTGTTAGTGTCCTCTTTTCCTGGGTGAAGCAGGCAGGATGGAGAGCTGCCGCCACTGCTGCTGAAGCCCTCCTGCCTCTTGTGTTGTTGTGCCTGCCTCCAGGGCTTCTGGAGGCTGGAATGATGCAGGGGGTGGGGTAGGTGGGGTGAGTGTGAAGGTGACACAGGTAAGCATGGTCCCAAGGCACCTCTGTGCACTCCAGGTTCAGCCAGCCTGAGGGCAGTGTGAGAGTTGGGAAAGGTAGGCACTGCCTGGCCCTCCGTTGTTGGGCCCTGGCAGTGTGGAGCCCTCCCCAGGGGCAGTAGGAGGGCTCTGGGCTCTGGACCTGCCCGAGGACTGTGCAGACACCAGGCAGGTGGGCTGCAGGGATGGCGTGCGATTCCTCCCAAAAGTTCTAGTGTGTTGCCTGAAAGGACAGCCCAAGCTGCCCTGGGGTGGGTGTGGGTGGGTGGGGCTGCAGTGCTGGGTCAGGAGCCCTGGGGACCTTCCTGGTAATTTGTGAGTCCTAGCTCATGTCTGTGCGGTGGGTGTCTGAGGCTTTGCCCTACAGCTTCTGCCAGTGCTGTTATTCTGGTTTGTGGTGTGTGTTCTCAGATCTCCATTGTAGATGTACAGTAGAGTGGCAGGGAATCCTGCCCCATGGTCTACTCTGCAGCATCATGGGGGTCCTGTTGTCTCGCAGAAGCACATTTTCTGGCGGAGGTTGTGGTCTGTGTGCTCGTGCAATTCTGGACACATCGTCTTCGCTCGTGTTACAACGTTCAGTTCCCACCGTGTTGGCAAGTCTCATGTCTGCAACCGACGAGGCCAAGTGATAGCTGTGGCTGTTGTGCACACAGCCATGACAGTGACACATGTCAGCATGTTTGCGTGAACTTGGGAGAGGTCGGGTAGGCATCATCTTTAAGGCAAGAATCATCTTGACCCTAAATATTTTCTTTTTGAATTTCAGGAAGCTCTTTGTGGGCGGCCTTGACTGGAGCACCACCCAAGGTAGGTGCTGCTTGCTAGGCACTGAAGGCGGGCCCTGACCTTGGTCTTTAGGTCGTGTGAATTCATCTCTTGCTACTACCTCAGGTTTCTTTAATTCTTGATGGTTTATTGTCTTTATTTCGGGGGGGGGCATTTGATCAGGTGTTGGCTAGGGGAAGAGGGCTCAACATTGGCTTGAAAGGGTTGATTTCGTCCTGATGCTTCACAGCAATTAGGGCATCCTTGGCAGGAAGAGGCTGGTCTGCAAGCTGCCTTTGGAGTCGTGGTTCCTCATCCTCTTACACATCACTTTCCTGGGTGCCTGTGCCACTGCCACACTCAGTGCAGCCTTTCTTGTTTGTTTGTTTGTATATAAAAGATTTTATTGGGGAAGGGGAACAGAGTTGGGGAATTGGGGATAGGGAACAGCCAAGTTGTTGTCCTTCAGTCTTAGTTGTGGAGGATGCAGCTAGCTCAGCTCCAAGTCCAGTCACCATCCGGCTGCCTATCAACAGCTCGTGGCCGCTAAGCTCAAGGTGCTGTGTTCAATCTTAGTTGCGGGTGGGTATAGCCCACCATCCCATGCAGGAGTCGAACCAGCAACCTTGTTGTTAGGAGTGCATGCTCTATCCACTGAGCCATCCGGGTGGCCGTTAAGCTCAAGGTGCCAAGTTTAGTCTTAGTTGCGGGCGGGCATAGCCCACCATGAACAGACAGTCTTGTTGTTAGGAGCATGTGCTCTTACCAGCTGAGCCATTCTGCCACCTGTTGGCAGCTCAGCTCGGGCGCAGCTCACTGGCCCATGTGGGAATCGAACCGGCAGCCCTGTTGCTCAGAGCTCATGCTCTTTAACAAACTGAGCCGGCCCTAGCCTTTCTAGTTTATGTGCAGATGTGACGCATCCATCTTTTAGAGTCCCCATCCTTCTCCACGTGTCTCCTGTCTTTTACACCCTCCGTTCCCCAAAATAGTTGATTAGTGAGTTTAAAAATGGCTAATTTCATACTTTCCAGGTCAGGCTGGAGAAGCAGGAGAGCAGTGTGTGTGTGTGTGTGTGTGTGTGTGTGTGTGTGTGTGTGTGTGTGCATGCCAGCTGCGACACTGTGCCTAACACT